GATGAACAATGAACACATTTATAACGAAGCACTTGGAAAAATTGAAGATAAAGTAATGGCAATGGTAGGGAAAAAATTAAGCGACTTTGGAATGATAAGCCCTCAGCGAATAACCGAAAATGAACTAAGTGATGAAATTATACGTGAAACAAACTACGATATACCAGCTTTGCAGCAGCAAGTAGCCGAATTTATACCCCGCTTGCTTCCCGAACAAAAACGAGTTTTTGACAAAGTATTAGGACAAATTGAATCTGGATATGGTGCACTTTTCTTTTTAGATGCCCCTGGAGGAACTGGGAAGACATTTTTGTTAAATTTATTATCAGCGCAAGTACGGAAAGACAAAAACATTGCTGTGCCGTAGCTTCCTCCGGTATAGCCGTCACGCTACTAAGCGGGGGCCGCACTGCACATTCTGTTTTTAAACTCCCTCTAAATCTAGCCCAGGAAGAATCGCCGATCTGCAACTTTAGCAAAAATAGTACACGAGCTATAACGCTACGACAATGCAAACTTTTAGTGTGAGACGAAAGTACAATGTCGCATAAAAAAACCTGTAGAAGCACTAAATCGAATGCTCCAGGATTTGCGCAGCAATACCGATGTAATGGGAGGAATAGTGGTTTTACTGGCTGGTGACTTTCGCCAAACTTTACCTGTCATTCATAAGGGCACACCTGCAGATGAAATTAAAGCATGACTCAAGTCATTTTATGGAACAAGGTGACAAAATTCAGTTTAACTACGAATATGCACTCTCAGCATTTGTATAATGATATCAATGCTGGAAACTATGCTGACACACTATTAAAAATTGGCGATGGGCGGTTGGAAACGAATGCTGAGGGCTGCGTTAAATTGACGAGAGATTTTTGTAATTTAGTACAGAGTCATTCCGAATTAATTGCGAGCGTTTATTCAGATTTAACAAACAACATGCATGAAGACAAATGGTTATGTGAAAGGGCGATTCTTGCACCAAAAAATCAGAGCGTTATCAAAATAAATTCAGATATATTAAGCGAAGTAGCAAGAGAAATAACAGAGTCAGTAAACACAGTTATGGACACAGAACAGAGCACTTCATATCCCGCAGAGTTTCTAAATTCTCTAGAGTTATCAGGTGTGCCCTCACATAAGCTTCAATTAAAATTAGGCGTCCCAGTCATGCTAATGCGAAATTTAGATGCTCCTCGGTTATGTAACGAGACAAGGCTGCGTGTAACACATCTTGATAGGAAAATAATCGGTGCTACAATTTTGACAGGCGTAGGAAAAGGTGAAAATGATATTATACCACGGATCCTTATAGTTCCCACAGATCTTCCTTTTCAATTTAAAAGGTTGCATTTCCCTATTAAGCTCAGTTTTGAAATGACAATTAATATAATACAGGTAGCGGGGTCAACTTAGAAAAACCGTGCTTCTCTCATGGTCAGCTGTATGTAGCATGTTCGCGTGTGTCAAATGCCCAGAATCTCCACATTCTTTCCCCAAATGGAAAAACATATACATTGTGTACAGTAGCGTCTTAAAATAACACACAATCAATTAATAAGAATTCCCACAGATTTACCTTACCTTTCAATTCAAAATTTCCTATTTAGCTCAGTTTCTTTTCAATTCCAAATGCTGCACCTCTGACGGACCTGTTAAGCTCAGTTTCCTTTCAACTCAAAAGGCTGCATCTCCGACGAATCTTTTATTTGGCTCAGTTTCCTTTCAATTCAGAAAACTGCATCTCTGACGAATCAATTTAGCTCAGTTTCTTTTCAAAAGTCTGCATCCCTGACGAATAACTATGCTCAGTTTCCTTTAATTAAAAAATATCCCATTTTCATTTGGAATAAACAGGCTATTTTCATGCTTTCCTTTACGCTACGTTTCAAAACATTTAAATAGCCTGCCGAATAAATTTTTCTCAGTTTCCTTTTAATGGCTGCATCTCTGACAAATCTATAAAACTCAGTTTTCTTTCAATTCATTTCCCAGTGACAATGCGGGCGAAGCCGCGGGTAACAGTTAGTCCCTATATAAAGCCGGTGTAGATCCGTAGACCGCGACCCGTGTCAGTATTGAATTGGCGAATCAAGCGAATACTTCGAACTAAGGTGATCAGTAGTACTATTGTGTTGTGTAATTAGTGTGGTTTTAAGTTGTAATTAATGTTCTGTAATTAAAGTGTTAATTTTAGTCATTCACTCGGCAGTTTTTTATTTTCTCGAACCCCAAGCTCGTAACAATACTTACATACATTTTCTATTAAAGTATGAACCAGTTTGCAATAAACACTTCTCAGAACAAGACTATCTATAGTTAATGTAAAATGAACCATATGTACATTTAGAGTTGTTAAAAACTACAGAAACAGAAACTTTTTTATTCAATACAGATTATAAATAATATTTATTGTAAGTCACTTTTTTTAATTTACCACTGGTTCGGGAAAAATTCTCTCTGCCCTGGGAAGAACCAGTAACAAACCTAGCGGGACTTTTTTTTTATAAATAACAGCTTACAATCATGTATGTATGTTACCATTAACAACACAAAAGATAATAGCTTGGTAGCGATCACCTTTCCCAGGGGTTATTATCATCTATAAATTCCTTAATATTATAATAACCCTTTTACACAAACTTAATTTAATAAAGTTTTTGAACTATTTGCTGGTCAAATATTGTATATTTTATTCGTAATTACAGACATATGACAAAAATACTCTTAAGAAAATTCATCCTGGTGATAAAAACTACTCTACCCCTTCTCTTTTTCTTATCCATATTACAAAATTAAATTTTTATCGTTATTACAATATAAGAAGCAATTTAAATCAACGTTCAATGCAATTTTCTTTTAACGATCTTGTACTGAAAAACAGCATTTTTAGATCTATAACTGTATGACTTTTCTGAATCAAACAACTATAAATGTTTTATAATTTATTTATTTTTTATTTATAATTATAATAATAAAAAAGATTAAATAAAACTTAAAGAATAAATAATAAGAATTAAATCTAAGCCAATCAAGAAACTATGCCTAAAATTATAAAACAAATTATGGTATCAAAGTCTACAATGGTGGGTAAGAATTATAAAGAACAAAAGTAATTATCATGTTTTTATAAATAATATACTTTAGGCTGAATGAAACTAGTTACTCGTATACGTGTTTCATCACGTTAATTCCCTATTTGATTTATATTCCCGACGTTTCGACTACTTTACAACACGCATGGTACATGGCACGGTGGGACTCACTAAGAAATCATTATACTTAAAGGAACTGGTAAGATATGCAAGAAGTCGATGGATGCAGGTGGCTCAGGGCCGTGCTTTGTGGCATTCCTTGGAGGCGGCCTATGTTCAGCAGTGAACTTGTGCAGGGTTTTAATAATGATGACGATGATAGAAGATGTGATAGCTCAGAGGCTAGTCTCGATGTAAATTAGACAGTATGCGAGAAATCCAGGTTTGATTCCCGCCGGCACTCGCCGGCACATGGAAATCATTTTAGTACTAAATTTAACGAGTAACACTGTCGAGTGGATTTGGCCTAATCGTCAAGTTTGGTAGCTGGACTGATGACCGCGGTACCAGACGTGAGCACCCTTGGTGCTGTGCTATTAAATCTGAGTATTTTACGTATGGCGTAAACGAGTAGGTTTTACTATCATCTATCGGTAATCGTAAAGCTTCATACTAATAACAGCTCAAACTAAAAAATGTGGCAGCCCAGTGTGGCAACTAAGATAAATTTTTTTATTGTATAAGGGTGACAAAAGAGTGTGAAAGCACTTGATAAGTGTAACAGTGTAACATTGTAAATGGTTGCTGTAGAGTGTAGACTGTAAATATCGGTACATCGATATTCGATTACGAATCAAAATGCAGATGCGTTGTCACCCGTAAGGATTAAGATGGAATTCCTCATTTTCAGTGGAAAAGGGTCCCCGGATCTCTGTACCCACCATAAGAAACAACGGTCCTACCCCGCTCGTGTTGGCCCATTCGTGCTACAATCATAATATAACTGCAGCATGACTCTACTACGTATAACTCGAAAATATCCATTTTAGAATGAAGGGGGAGGCTAATGTTCGGCATTTGACTTTTAAAAGGCCACAACGATGTATGAATGAATGAAGTTTTTCCAGCATTTCACATAGTTGCCTCTTACAAATCCCACGGGGCGAAACAGAGAACCTCTTTAAATAACCCGACACGACAGGGCAACCCTTATTACGTTCTCTATAATATATTGGCTTATATCTGCAACCTAATCATGTGGTAGAGCAATGCTGCAGCTATATTATGGTCTCTGGAATGTTGGAATGGCTCTATGAATGGGTCAACTAGACCATACTCTCAAAGAATACAAGCGTCAAAACTTCGTTCACTAAATGATCGAAGGTCAAATAGCAGCTTAATACTTCGTGTTTTACATGGTGAGTATTGGGAACCGGTGGTCGTTTTTACTGGAAAAGAAGCATTTCATCTTAGTCGTCAGGAGTGACAACGCATCTGTATTATGATTCTTAATCCGCGGTAGATGTTGGCGTCTAATAATCACAGCACCCACTTACCATCAGGTGAACTGTGTGCTCGTTTGTCATCCTTATAAAAAATCAAATGTACAAAACCAAAGATAACGCTACGAAACTGAAAGTAGAAAGTATGACGATTCAATTTTTCAAAGTCTTTTTTGTCCTGTTGGTACCATAGCATTGAGATGAATAATCTTTGGGCAGAACTTATTTAATGCTGTGTGACGATCACAGCAATTCGACCAACTTGTGAAATACTACGTTTAGCTGCGGACTATACTATAATGCAGGGCTCATGATGAATTCAAATAAGCAATAACTCTTGTTTTCTCCTGACTGTAATCCTAAAAAGTTTACAAAAATATTTATATATAATTTTGTCTACTTTTTCCAGAATACTTTCTACTTTATTCTTTATTTTGTTGCTGCAGTAGAATCTCAATATCCGATGCTATCGGGTTTTAAACCGGACATAACATTTGACGATCGCAACGACAGATTCGATTTGACATCCCTGATCCGTTATCAAAATAAATACTACAATGATGATATTCCATCAAATAGACGTAGCAATTCACAAAGAAATGTATGTGACGGAAAATACGATGTAATTGTTATAGAAAATAATAGAACAGTTAACACAAAAATTGACCCATACAAAATTATAAAGAAAATTAAACGGATAGTAAGAAAAGAATTAAGAAATGTAGCAAAAGATTTAACTAAAAGATGGAAGCGATCTTTAGATGAAGTATATCCCATAGACAATAAAATGGATATAAACGACGTAAACAGTATTGAAAATTTTGATATAAAATTTGACGAGTTGCTCGGTAGAAAGTCTTTAAATAATGTTTTCGTAAACCTACGTGGCAGAAGACGTAGAGGAAGCCACGTAGTTGATGAATCATCTAAGAAAGAAGATACATTTAATCCAAAAGGGGACACAATTTTAAACTATGCTTTTCCTATTCACATGCTCGTACGCGGGTTTTTGTTACCACCTACAGTCGCTTGATTTCATATTTTATTTTTTGGTAAGATCATGAATAAATTGGAATTTCTAAATTATTTTTCAACAATACATAATAAACATAATAATATCCTCCAGACACGGCGGCCAGTCTCAACGAAGACTAGTCATTTGACATTACATATTTCCAAACCCAAAAAATCACATTATTTTTTAATTTAAATAGAAGTGGCGCTAATATCACCAGCAGTTCTGGGTGTTTCTAGAGAGGCTTAATTTACGTTGTCCGGAGAAAATAAGTACCCGTAATTTTAAAATTTGAAACGAAAATAATTTTTTGTGCTACTATAATGTATGATCTAACTGAGGCACGATAGTTTTTGTGTCTAATTTGGTACAAAATAGTCGAAAAAAATCCGAAAGTTCTAAATTTTGATACCCCTGGCGCGTCCGCTTCACATTTCGCGAACAACTTACCGACAAAACACTTAATTATGAACGGAAATAAAATAACGAATGCGGTCTAATCGATACCAGGTTGTGTGTAGATATAAGTTTTAGTTTTAAGTTTAGGTTAGCCCTGCGACAATATAAGCCAGGCACAGCTTCCTTCACTAAAGGTTTCGTTACTGAGGTTATATCGGTTTCTAGACAGATTATAATAACGATGATACCATTGCCTCAATATCATCGTAGGTCTTAAGCCATTCAGTAACAGATAATTTACAGTCACGAAGTTTTAGAGGATAGATGTTTAGCTCTTATTCAATTGGTTGTAAGTAGGAAGACTGCCTTGTATACTGCCTTTTAGCAAAAACAGATCTAACTGGGACAATTGGAGCGACCAAGTAGTTTCTTCTGCTAACCATATTCGGCTTTTTGGGATCTTACGGGAGGGATGTGTTTTCTTGGAATAATATGGAGTAAGTAGAGTTTTCTTTCGGACAATAGGTTAGAGGTTAGGTATAGGGTTTGAGTTGGAAATCTATAGGGCTTAAAAAGCATAACTTTAAGCAGAGATCGCTGCGCCCTCTCAAGTTCTAAAAATTTAGTTTTTTTTGTGCCACCCCAGCATGGCCGACAGTAAGTAAGGATTGATTGGACCAATGACACGTAGATTTTCTGCAAAAGATTCTTAGAGGTAACGTGTCGCAATGTTTTAACAAGTCCATATTAATTTCCTAACCCTTTTCATTATCAGTTGTTGATGTATAAAAATATACCATATGTGTATATATGACAGTTTTCTTAACAATTATAATATAAAGTTTGTCCGAGACTAAACAGTAATTCCCGTGGCGCGTCACAAAACTACGTACTAAAAATGTTCTAGAGGAGAGGAGTGCATTCGCGTCGTCGCATGAGCGCTGCTAGTAGCGCTTCGAACGTAGTTGCGGAAGATTGCACCACTCGATGGTCTAGGACGAAATTACGAAGGTAAAGATATGATTCCCCTGGTTTTGTTTCGCTAAGTCGCTGATTATCCTGACCACGTTAATAAACGTAATTTGAGTTTTAAAGATTTGTTGTCGGGTGTAATTGGAACAGCTCTAACGATCATTATTCATTTATTTCATTGTTATTATTTAAAACGTATTGTTTTTATCAGAATCGATTCAAAACATCCTACTTTTTGATTCCATTGCCATTGATTCCATTGGTATTTGCGCCAGGGTTATTAAAATTCATGATGAATATTCAATTTTTTTCTTATTTTCCATGAAAAAAAGGAAATTTCGTATTATTTCTTACACATGTCTTTATTTTTCATATTTAGTGACGTGCAGTTTCGTGATCACTTGGAAGAGAAGGCCAAATTGGCCTCTAAAAAGCTTGGCGTGCTCAGGAGAGAGGGACAGTATTTCATACCGGCACACCGCCTGCAACTTTACAAGGCGCAGGTTCGGCCGCACATGGAATACTGTTCCCATCTCTGGGCTGGGGCTCCCCAGTGCCAGCTCCTTCCATTTGATCGCATTCAGCGCAGAGCCTTTCGAATCGTCGACGACCGAGCTGTTTCCGATCGGCTTGACTCACTGGCGCTGCGACGAGATTTTGTATCTCTGCGTATTTTGTCGCATTTACCACGAGGAATGCTCTGAGGAATTGTTCGGATCAATCCCAGCCGTCAAATTTCATGAACGCACATCGCGGCACCCGATATCATCCACACCATCTGAATGACTGACGGTCCACCACTGCGCGATTTAAAAGAAGTTTTCTTCCCCGCATAACTTCCTTGTGGAATCGACTACCACCAGAGATTTTTCCGAACCGATATGACCTAGGAACCTTGATTTTCTTATAAATTTTGTTTCAATTTTGATTCCCTTGTCGTCTTTTATTGATTCTTCTGGCCAAAAAAAATTAAAATTCTATATTTTGGGAACCATCCGGCCAAAAGTGATGCCCATTCGTTAAACGTTTTTATATTTAAGTTAAATTTTATGTGACATTGTTACTTATAAAAAATCTGTATAAATAAATTTCGTCATGGGAATCAACTGAATCTCAGGATTCACCCTTCTTATAAACAAAAGATTTAAACTTACTTTAGACTTACTTTAGATTAAAAAAAATGTTTTCAATAGGCTAGAGCATAGGGATTATACGTAAAAAGTAAAAAAAAATTACAACCTATATATGTCCCACGTTTAGGCATAGACTTCCTCCCATTTCTATTAGTTTTGGGTAAGGAAGTGTCTGAACGTTGCCGCAATGCGTGTTGGCGGACCTCACAATATTCACGGAAATATTTTTGAGCTGTGATTACAGCATGGGGATAAGCGCTCGCACCAATGTAATGGACGACACACACGGTCAGTTCAACTGATCATTCCAACTGATCAGTTCAAACTAGGAGTGTTAATATTTTTTTTAAATATTGGATTTTCGATATATCGATAATTATAAATATATCAGTATCAGAGTTTATATATAAGTTCATTTTTCGATATATCGAAAATCCAATATTTTAAAAAATATCAACAGTCCAAGTTTTGTGTGATAAATTACAGCACATGCACCCAGCAAGGGTATAAAGTAAATATAAAGTTTGAACCGACCAGTTGGAATGATCAGTAGAACTGACCGTGAGTGTCGTCCATAATTGTTAATTGCAATTTTAAGTGCTGATTTACCTAGTGTCTGGCGGTAAAAGAAAACATCGTTAGAAAACCCGCACGTCTGAGAGGGATTATAAACCATGCAGTTTATAATCGTTTGGCCCTTAATATAAAATAGTAAATTATTAAATTTATAGATTATTTACGGAAGGAGTGCTATGGTAGCTCAGGAAATAAATGTCCGCACAGTACGCAAACCGTACCGTGGTATATGTGGTGGTGGTGTAAGAATATCCACAACCCCACAGCACCCCATGGGTGTCGTAAAAGACGACTGAGGGAAACTAAAACAGAAGATGATATATTTTTATTATAGCAACTCAAAATAATAAAAAAGCGTGTCGTTAAAAGCTTGACAACTATTGCAAATTTCTATATACTCGTATTCTGTTCGCAGTTGATGTTTAGAGATGAATGGATAGATGATGAACAGGGCGCGAAAAACCAAAGTGCGACCCTCGCCGAAACCAACAAAATTACAAAATTAAAGAAAACATTGCGAGCGAAGCTTAAATTAAAAAATTGAAAATAATGGGCTTGTTTCCAGCAGTGAGAAGTATAAAGACTATTAGTTAAAGCTATTAGGCAACTTTTTAATTGAAGTAAAACATCTTATTTCTTGCCCTTGTAATGGACAATATTTAAAAAAGTACAACATAATTAATTGAATTGATTGACATCCTAGCTCTACATCACAACGTTTTTACGCTTAATATATTTTCACTTATGAGTAATATAAAAATCAGTGACAATAGACGATACATATTCATGAAAGAAATATACAATCCGCTTCTTTGCTTTACATTTGCACAACACCATCTATCGACAACACTGATTAACTATTACCACGTTCCCTTAATAAATTAAAAGAATCAAGATCGGAAGTGTTTCTACATTTCTTATACTTAGAGTGGTACTTCATTTTTTCTTTTAAGATTTTAATCAGGGGGGTTTTATACCAAGGAGGAAATCTGGAAGTTGGTTTAACAGTTTTGCAAGGGACATGTGCATTGATTAACGTTTTTAAATTATCATACAATAAGAGTACAGCCTCCTCTAAAATACCAATTCTAAGACAGTTGGACCGGTAAGTCCACACAGTAACTAAGACACTTGGAGTTGGACAGGTAGGTATCGATTGTGCAAAGATACGATTATGCTTTTATTGTTTTTGTCGTTGCGGGAAGGAACTCGTAAAATATTTAATAATTATCTTAAATTACAAAAACGAGATCGATCATACACATTTAAGAAATTAGGGCCAAAAAAATTTTGTGACCACCGAAGAGACTCAGTTGACCACTAAAAAGAACAAGATTGAGAAAAATTAGTAAATTGTTTGAAACATAACTAAATTATTTATTGCACAAAATTATATCTTTATAATTTTGTGCAATCATCTGAAACAACATAGCTCACCATTCAGTACAATATACAAATAAATCTCGTATATCAAATAACATTGATGCTTTAGGAAAAAAAAATTTTTCGCGGTTTTACCCATTTATTTTTTTATTTGTACTGCGAAACCTTGCATCTTGATTTTAAGTCTATGAGAAGTACCCTCCAAAGTTGATGGATAAGTTTGTGACATAAATAAAATAAAATAGTATTATTTTTAATCAATACAGATTACAAAAACACCTATTGAAAGTCATGCTTTTTTAGGGTTCCGTAGTTAAACAACGAGGAACAATTATAGTTTTACTCAGAGATCCTAGGTGCTATAAAGCTAGAATTTGGCATAGTTAAAGATATTAATCACACCGACTAAGTTCAGAAATAAAATCATTAAAAAATATTCTATTCTTACCCTTACATATACAGATGATTTTTTAACCCGGTTATTTCATTTTATGGGGTGTTGTCAGGCAGGTCTTTCAAATTTTTTTACGATTTCGGCGTCTGTTTGCGAAAAAAATACCTTTAATGCTATTTTTTATTAGAGTTATGTGTCCCTCAGAGTGATCTTATATAATAAAATTGAATGGAACGAAATGGAATGGAATTAAATTGAACAGAATGTAATAGAAAGAACAGAATAGTATATAATAGAGAAGAATAAAATAGAGAAGAATGGAATAGAATCGAGAGAAATAGAAAGGAATTGATTGTAATATAATGGAATAGAATGGAATGGAATGGAATGAAATGGAATGGAACGGAGTGGAACGGAACGGAGTGGAGTGGAACGGAATGGAACGGGATGAATACTCATTGATTATTGAAAACTACTTATTGAAAGTCATTTAAGTTTTACCACTGGTTGGGAAAAAACCTCTTTCCTGGTAATAAGAACCAGTAAGAAACCCAGAGGGACTTTCCTTTTGAACATTTATTTACAATATAATATTTTATACACTTAGGTATGGAAACATTCAGAAACAATATGGTAGAGATCACGTCCTTTCCAAGGAGTTGTTATCAATCATGTACTCTTAAGTAGTATACTCGTAATAACCCCCTTTAAATATTTTTTGCTTAATAAAAAAAATTTAACTTTTTGATAGATAGGTCCTGCACATTTTTTGGGATTTTGTTGTAAAAGCATAGGTACGCGCTGTTGCTACAACGCTGTTTCTTCTGCATATCAATGATATGTTGCAGACCCGTAACATTCATTGCTATGCAGATGACAGCACTGGTGATGCTCTTTACACCGGCCGAGCCAATATTTCTCGGGAAAACGTCTCCGAGTGCCGGGACAAACTTGTGTCTGAAGTCGAGTCTCTGCTGGACAGAGTCTCGGATTGGGGGCGACTAAATCTAGTCCAGTTTAACCCCAGAAGACACAAGTTTGCGCGTTAACCGCTAAAAAGAACCCCTTTGTCGTATCCCCTCAGTTTCAAGGCACTCCCCCTTGTTGCCTCAGCCAGTATCGGAATCCTCGGCGTCGACATATCGAGTGACGTGCAGTTTCGTGGTCACTTGGAAGGGAAGGCCAAATTGGCCTCTAAAAAGCTTGGCGTGCTCAGCAGAGCGGGACAGTATTTCATGCCGGCACACCGCCTGCAACTTTACAAGGCGCAGGTTCGGCCGCACATGGAATACTGTTCCCATCTCTGGGCTGGGGCTCCCCAGTACCAGCTCCTTCCACTTGACCACATCCAGCGCAGAGCGGCTCGAATCGTCGACGACCGAGTGCTTTCCGATCGGCTCGATTCTCTGGCACTGCGAAGAGATGTTGCATCCCTTTGCATTTTCTTTCGCATATACCATGGAGAGTGCTCTGAGGAATTGTTCGGATTAATCCCAGCCGCCAAATTTCGTGAACGCACTACGCGGCAAACGTCCCGATACCATCCACACCATCTGGATGCTTGGCGGTCCACCACTGTACGTTTCAAAAGGAGTTTTCTTCCGCGTACAACCTCTCTGTGGAATAATTTACCACCAGCGATTTTTCCGGACCGATACGACCTGGGGACCTTCAAGAAAAGAGCTTACTCCTTTCTAAAGGGCCGGCAACGCATCTGCAATTCCCCTGGTGTTGCAGTTGATCATGGGCGGCGGTAGTCACTTAACATCAGGTGAGCCACATGCTCGTTTGCCCCCCTCTTCTATAAAAAAAAAAAAAAAGGTACATGCCCAAGAAGGAATAACTGATTCTTTGGAGTCGAGCAACTGGTATAAAAATCGTATGCTTATTCCTAGTATTTACAGAATGTCCATCACTGTTTTTAATAAATTTATTTTTGTACTTGTGTAAATACATTAAATTTTCGTAAATATACTGTGAGGCCAAAGTTTATATTTATTTCTTTAAGTTTTTCTCTAAGAGACCTAAGTTATAAATCGCTCATGTGGCATTCCTCTGCAAAACAAATATAGTTTCAATTTCAGAAAATCAAAAGGTCGGAATCTTAATATAATCACTTTGTTACAAATAAAACGGTTTTTTTTATTTGAGGGAAATACCAAAAAAATTGATAACAATTATTTTAACATTGCTTGAACTAACTAACACTTATTTTCAATTTTACAGTCCTGGATCAATCTGAGACTGATACCGGCCGCCGGAACCACTCAAATTACGTCGTACAATTTAAAAGTCTTAATTATCACTTTAGAAATATTAAACGTAAAAATGCTTACAATAAAATATATTTCGATTAAAGTCCACAGTAGCCGCGCCCCGTGTAGTGGTGGTGTGAGAATATCCACTACCCCATATCATCCCGTGGGTGGCGTAAGAGACGTCAGAGGAAAACAAATCAGCAGATGGGCAGCAGCGTCTTCCTAATAACAACTAAAAATAAAAAAATACGGTTGCCAAACCGCTTGCCAAGCGTTGCAACTGTGGAAAATATTCTCCGTGAGGAAATCTATTGGGAGGGCGCTACATTCAGCTGTGGACTTCAATAGGCTGTAACAGTACAAGTAATAGAAGCAGCGCGCGGACTGTTTTCCTCCATAATCCTCTCTTTGTATAGAAGTTTGTAGTAAGTAGAAGGTACTATACTTGTTTAACTAAACGATAAAAACACAAGTGTGAAAAAGCAATTCAACTCCATTCGTCTTTTGCAATTTCAATCATACGCAAAATAAAATAGCCATTCGACTACAAATTTTAAAAGTCAATTATTTTCACCACATTCGCTTCTCAAATTTAAGTAACGTACATAAAATTTTACATACGGAAAAGGAATTTAAAATGTTAGTTAGACTGCTTCAGTTTATATTAATAATTGGAGCTTTTAAAGGCACGTGGGAGAGGAATCATGGGATTGAAACTAGAGCTGATATTGATAATATTTTGAAAGCAATTAAGTCTTCTGAAGATTCTAATGAAGACAATCATGAACATAAAGACAAAGATACATACATAAATCGTAACGGTAATAACAATGCAGAAATTATCGACTTAAATACTCTAAATTCAATTGTAAAACGTATACTGAATAGTGATAAAAGAGAACAGTTTAACGAAGACGACTTTAACAGGTATCTTCGAAACCGAAACGAAGCATTGTGTCGGAAGATAGGGCGATGTGGATGTCGACCCGGTATCACCAGGTGTGGCGACACAGCTGTAAGTAATCAGAAAACAGTTAAAGACATGGAATATTTACTTAATGGCCTGCAAGAAAAAGTAGACAGAGGCTTAGTTTCAGAAGAAGGCAAAGAAGACGATTTACACTACAAAACTAAACATAATGTAGATAAATATAACCCAAAAAATTATATAGATTTGAATAATGTCTTTTCGGATAGGGATGATTTGTTTGGACAAAAAGACTTATTCAAATTAGGTAAACAAAAAACATATAATTTGAATTCAGTTTCTGACCATACTCCAAATTATAAAACATACAGATATGATGAGAATGGGCCTTTCATTCTGCAGCTTGACGATATTTCTAATGAGCCTGAATTGATTAATAACGACGAACGAGAATTCTCACGCAGCGAAAATATCAATCCTGATGTTTTTTTCAAACTCTTCAATCACATGAGAGAAAATATGATCAACATTTTATTCGAATATGTAACTAATGATGATAAAAACTCTCCCGGTGTTGTGTACGACCTCAACAAGTGGCAATTACGTAAAGTCAAAGAACTAAAATATGAAATAAATCTTAATAAAAAAAGGCTTACAAATGAAAAAATAAAAAATATAATAAATGCCATAGTATTCGGTAATTACAATAAAATTAAAATCATTCCTAACGACAATTTGAATAACATTCTTGTTCCCTCTTGGATTTACGATTTCGTCTTATCTAGAAGAGCAAAATATTTCAGATCACCGAAAAGAATAGTGCCTTTAACAACAAAAAAGGATATAAATCGATTAATGAGCAAAAATAAAAACCCAAAACAAAGGCCAACAGCCAAAAATATATGGCGCCGCAGTTTTTATCCAGATTTACAGGACTATGCAATACCTTTCGAACTTGCTGTACAGGGCTTAGCACAATATAACAATTAAAAGAGTGTTACGCATCACCTTTAAGAAATCAAAAATGTTATATGCAATAAACAATACATTTAAAACCTTACCTTTTATATAGAATAATGGTGACAAACGAGCACACAATTTACCTGATGGTAAGTGGATGCCTTTAGTACGGAGTAGGTGGTAGCCTTTAGAAACCTACATTTATTCTCTATTAAACTGTTTGACTGTGATCCTTCACTTCTGGCCCTATGAGTCCTGAGCCACCTGCATCCATCGACTTCTTGCATGTCTTACCAGGTCGTCACTCCATCTAGTGGGGGATGCCCTATACTTCGCCTGCCGGTATGAGGCTACTACTCGAGAACCTTTTCTTCTCATCGGTGGTCGGTTCTTCAAGCCATATGGCCAGCCCATTGCCACTTCAGCTTACTAATCCGTTGGGCTATTGGTCACTCTAATTCTCCTGGGGATATCCTCATATACTCTGTTCGACCAACCTGTCTGGATCGAACGGATGTGTCCTTTTGACCAGCCGTGCGATTGGCTCGGTACGACATTGTCCCGTTGACCAGCTCCACATAAATCCTGTCTCTCACAATTTAGCAATTTTGTCGACCACATTATACTCAATAAAAAGCCACTCATTCTCTCAATTCATGGCATGTTAAAGTTAAACATTAGCCCGGTATATCGCAAAAAATTTCGAGCTTTAAAATGTACCCCATATAAATCATATTTCGCATGAACATAAAACTGAGATAACAATTCCAGTAATAACTTAATCAGGCATGATTGTTTTATGAATTCACTTAATGAAGGATCATAACCGAAGACCAATTTCAGACTCTGTTTCTTTACTAAGGGACATACCATTTTCCGACCAACCTGTCTGGAGGTCGTCACTCCATCTAGTGGGGGGTCGCCCTACACTACGCCTACCGGTACAAGGCTGCCACTCGAGAACCTTTTTTCCCCAACGGTTGTCGGTTCTTCGAGCTATATGGCCGGCCCATTGCCACTTCAGCTTACTAATCCGTTGGGCTATGTCGGTCACTCTGGTTCTACTGCGGATATTCTCATTTCTAAGTTTATCACGCAGAGAAACCCCGAGCATAGCTCTCTCCATAGCTCGTTGAGCGACTTTGAGTGTCCTCATACGGCCGGCAGTGAAGGACCACGTCTCATTTCCATATGTCATCACTGGCAACACGCACTGGTTGTACAATTTCGTTTTCAGGTTTTGAGGTATACCTGACGAGAAAATGTAACGTAATTTCCCAAACGCTGCCCAGCCGAGTTGAATCCGTAGATTGACCTCTCGGTCGAAGTTGGACTTACCTAGTCGGACTATTTGTCCCAGGTAAACGTACTCGTCAACAACTTCGAGCGTAGTGCTCCCAATAACTACCGGCATAGGTGTGACATGGACATTAAACATGATCTTTGTTTTGTCCATGTTCATCTTAAGACCTATCCGTTGGGAGGCACTATTGTGGTCATTCAGCATAGCGCTTAGGTCCTCCAGCGATTCTGCCATAAGGACTATATCGTCGGCAAATCGAAGGTGAGTAATGTACTCGCCATTGATGTTAATACCGTATCCTTTCCAGTCCAGTAGCTTGAAAACGTCTTCCAACGCAGCGGTGAAGAGTTTCGGGGATATAACGTCACCCTGTCTTACACCTCTCTGCAGTTGGATAGGTTTCGTACTCTGGTTCTGTACTCGGATAGCCATCGTAGCCCTACTGTATAAACACTTCAGCACTTCGATATACCGACAGTCAACTTGGCACCGCAGAAGAGACTGTAGCACCGCCCAAATTTCGACGTAATCGAAGGCTTTTCTCAAAGTACACATACGCCAGGCAAAGTGGCAGATTGTGGTACTCTTCGGACTTCTGTACAATCTGCCGCAGGGTATGTATGTGGTCTATGGAATTGAAGCCTTTTCGGAAACCGGTTTGTTCGGGAGGCTGGAAGTGGTCGAGCCTGCATGCGAGACGATTCGTAATGACTCTCGAAAACAGCACGTAGACGCGTCTCAGAATGGAAATCGGTCTGTAGTTCATCAAGAGAGCGTTGTCGCCTTTCTTAAAGAACAAGACCACCGCACTTCTGCTCCACGCCTCCGGAGTAGTGCCACCATGGAGGACGGAATTAAAGAGCTTCTGAAGGACTTTAAGTACCGGTGTTCCACCCGCTTTCAGAAGCTTCGCTGTAATTCCATCCTCGCCCGGGGACTTGCCGTTTTTAAGGTGCTGGAGAGCCATTCTAATCTCACTCAGACTGACGTCCGGGATGTCATCGAAATAATGTCGGATAAGACTTGCTCATGGATTGTTACTTACACTTGCGTGTGGCTCCAACGATGATGTGTACAGCTGCCCATAGAATCTCTCAATCTCACTCAAAATCTCAGGTGTCCCAGAAACGATGCCGCCACACAGTCTTCAGCTTTGACAGTTGGCTCTTTCCGGCAGACAGATCTCTGGCAAAGACTTGGGAGCCCTGGTTCCGCTCAATCGCTTCTTCAATACGAGCTGTATTGAAGTTGAGTAAATCCTGCCGCATGCATTTGGAGATCTGTCTGTTCAGTTGCCTGTATGCTGTCAAATCTGCTGACGACTGCAGCTTCATCTCCCTTCTAACATCCATGAGATTAAGAGTGTGATCGGAGAGTTTTTGTGTTCTTCTGCGGCGGGTCTTGTAGAACTTAGCTCCGACCGCATGAACAGTTTCCACGAGCTTGTCATTCATATCATCATATTGCTGAAAAGTTTCGGGATTCTGGATCAGAGCACGAGGGGGACGGAACGTTGACTTCATTAGACGAGACCTCTCCAACTTAACGTTAAGATTCAGTGTGCCTCTAACCATTCGGTGATCGCTGCCAGTTTTCACCCTTGCGATTACTGAGACATCACTGAACAGTTGGCGTCTGGTTGTCATAAAGAAGTCAATCTCATTTTTTGTCGAACAGTCGGGGCTCGACCAGGTCCACTTCCTGTGGGGACGCTTCTGGAAGAATGAGTTCATCATAAAGAGTCCCTCTTTCTCCAGAAAGTCGGCGAGCTGCTGGCCCCTACGGTTCCGTTGCCCTACTCCAAATTTCCCTAACTTCAGCTCACCGCTTTCTCTTGTGCCTAGTTTTGCGTTGAAGTCTCCCATCAACACCGTATAGTGGGTTTTGGAGGAATGCATGGCTTTAGAGATATCCTCATACATTTCCTCCACCTCCTCATCGGGATGTGCCGAGGTTGGTGCGTAAACCTGTATGACCTTCAGCGAATACCTTTTGGTGATTCTGAGTATCAGGTACGCAACTCTCGTTGACACACTCTCAATATTTACAACGTTGTTGACAAGAGACTTGTGAACGATAAATCCGACACCTCCTTGGGACAGATTGTCGCCCTCCCGGTGATAGAACAAGTTGCCGGACTTGAGGATTACCGTGTCCTCCCCCATCTCTTCGGACCTCGGATAATCCTATAATATGCCAGCGCAACTTGTCTACCTCTTCTTCCAGCTCCAGTGTCTTCTCGTCAGTCCTCAGGGTGCGTGCGTTATATGTTGCCATGTCGAGTCGTCGTAGGTGGCAACCGAACCTCCACCGGAGATTCTTAGCACCCCCTGCCCCGCCGTTACCATGGTCGCCACCGTAGCCAAGAATAGCGGGGCTGCCGGGGACTAGGAGCCGTTTGTTCGTGTCGTTGCTCATAGGGGATGTTTGCCATAGTTGCCACGCTTGGCGAGCGGGTTGGCAACCGCAGTTTTTTTATTGTGTAATTGTTATTATCAAGAAGATGCTGCTGCCCATCTCCTTTCTGTGTCCCTCTGTCGCCTCTTATGACACCCACGGGAAGAAACACGGCACGGCAGCTTAATGTTATTAAAATATAAATACAAATGTTAATAAATTAAATTATTTTATGAAAAATATATGTAAGAAATATAACAATTTTAATTTTTTAGATTGTAAACACTCTTATCGTTCGGATATTTGTAAATTAATTAAATTATGTTATTGACTGTAATGATTATGCAAAATATTTAAACCCTAGCGAAATCAACAAACGTATAGCAAGTAATAAGACAAGTCTTAAAATATTTAAAATCTTAAATGAACCCAAAAAAGAAACAATTCCTTTTTACTTTAAGAAACAATCTGACTTCTACACAAAACCAGTTTTAAGTAAGGAATAGTTCCTTTCTTAAAACTTTCAAGGGGTTTTACCTTATTATTTTCCCGTGATAAAAAGAATCTCCTACTGCATACAATTTTAGAATCTTACATCAAAATATCGTAAGTTCTTTGTTCAAGCAAGATTTAATAGAAACAACTATATAGGAGTTACGGGAGAGAAACAATGACCCAGATGTAATATGTAACTCGAAAACTTTTATTAAAAAAAAGGTTATGAGAATCTTCTAAGAATAAGCGATTACCTAATGGTCGCCAATTTTTGCAGAGAAATTCAAAGAAAAGGAAACTGCATCCTAGTTAAAAAAATATTTATTATAATGAACTGTCATTAACAGAATAATATGTGTCGCAGAATACGTTTGAAGTTTGCGGCATTGAACTAACATGTATTAAATTAATAAATATCTGTCTCAACAGAACACCCCAATCACACCCGACCCAGTTTCTGTGTAAACTAAACAATCTCTTAGTATGAGTTAACTATGAAATACCGATCTAGAGCGCATATAGTATTGGCTGGCGACTTTAACATATACACATTAAAAAGAGGTAATATCAAAAATTAACTACAAGACTTATCGTATAATTACAATTTAAAAATACAAAGTCGTCTTGCATCGATAATATTTTAAATTTCGGATGCAACTGCAACCGTGCTCCCACTTCATCTGTTTGATTACGACACAACAAAATTGTTAAGCTTTCCTTTAAAACGCGATTATACAATATATACTATAATATAATCTAGATAATATCAGGAAATTTAAATAATGTTCCCAAATATGTATTGGACAGAAGCGTATACGGCAAATGATGCAAGCGTAGCTTTCAGACGTTTTCATGACTAGTAGCGTGTCTTTTGTATAATAATTGCTTAACACAACCAAAAAATGAAATAGATACAAATAATAATAAAAAACAAAATTGGATAAGTAAAGCGATTAAAGCAAGTTCTAAAACTAAGCGAATATTAAGATATCAATATTTTAGAAATATGTGGCCGTGGAAGGAAAAGGGGAGATCTCCCGCCGGGCAAGGTGTTCTGCCCGGGGAGTGGCCAACACTCCATGTGATAGTTCGGAGATGTTCTATATATACTGTTTATGATTCGGAATGTTGATAGCGTGATTTAGGCTTCGGTGTATTTCGCTTGCGGCGCGACGACAGCGCCGCCACATCACCCCCTGCTCAGACTGGAGGTCGATAGTGCAGCCTCGTTGCCGACGAATGTGCAAGTGCCAGTGGATTGCCTTGTAGTCTGCGGTGAGCCGAGAAGAAGGCAAGTAATCTGCGAAAGTGCCGTGAAGCAGAGGCGAGCAGTGAGGCTCAGAGCCGTGCCGAGCACTGTATAACGCAGAGAGTAGCTTGAAGGAACAGGAATCATTATTATTCCAGTGCTGTGATGAACCTTGTGAAGCTCGCTGGCTTGCAGGATGTGAAGACTGCAGACGATATCTTCTCGGGAGCGAATGGGTGGGGTATTTTATAACGATGATGAAAGCTTGAAGTTTCCGAAAGTTGTTGGTTGCAAGTTCATATCACGTCGGGGTCACCACTGTGGCCGTGGAAGGAAAAAGGGAGATCTCCCGACGGGCAAGGTGTTCTGCCCGGGGAGTGGTCAACACTCCATGTGATAGTTCGGAGATGTTCTCTGTTTATGATTTGGAATGTTGATAGCGTGATTTAGGCTTCGGTGTGTTTTCGCTTGTGGCGCGACGACAGCGCCGCTACAAATACAAATGCTGTTAATGAAGCTAAATATATGACATATTCCGAACCATTTAAGAAATGTTTATAATTCAAAAATATTGCGAACATAAAGTTTATAAATAAAAATGACAACAAGTGTAACGCCACGTAGAACGTTATTAAAAATTAAATAAGTAGCTTACAGGACAAAAACAAAATGGAAAAAGTTATAATTAATAACAAAGTGTTCACGAACACAATAGAAATAGCCACTGTTTTTAATAATCAATATATTAATCCAACACACGAAACAAAAGCAAAAAAAACTTGAATAATATTACATCAACACTATATTTCTCAAAACTATGTCGGAAGACCAAATTAGAAGAGAGACAATGTCATTAAAAATACTAGTTCTGCGGGCTATGACTACATAAGTAGGTTATAAATAATTGTATCAACGAAATAATAGGAATCTTGACTCATTTAATAAATCTATCTTTTTCGTGTGGAACTTTTCCAGGTGCAATGAAGATATCCATTGTCAAACGGCTGTTTGAAAAAGGAGAGATATCGTCAATAACTATCGCCCAATAACGTTGATAGGTCTCAACGTTATTTATGTATGTCCAAAGTTTATGAAAAATTTACTAAGTCACAGTGGTAGAAGTTTAAGTAACACTGGTAGAGCCACGCGGCAGCCTTTGATATTGCACTTATAGGCCGGCTCGAACCGGGGAGGTACCATGACCTCACAGAATACCAGCGTGAAGTAGAAGCTTTCCTTCTAGGTTTCTTTTAAGAGCCTATACTACCTCAGCTCAAATTCTAATTTCGCCCCCACTTCCCCGCGCCATTCGTTCGCACACTGCTCGCGGTCACGCGGGAACACGAGGTCAAAGCGATTTTGTTAGAGGAAAATAAACTATAATCGGACGCGTAGTAAGTAATAAAATTATCAATCATAATTTACTATTAACTTGTCATTATATGAACATAAAATTATATATCGCAAATTTAATTTCATTGTACATAATAAGGGCTACTCAAACTAATATTCTAGTATAAGCTGACTCTTCATTGTACTGAAAGCCTATACAATGCAAGATCAGCTTATACTGGAAATTCCAAATACTGGAAGGATACGCCCATTGGTTTAGCAGGTAGTAAGTTTGCGTTTTGTAGTTTTCGCCGTGTATGTATGTAATGTGACAGCCGTTGGGTATGTAGTTATGTAGGTAGTAGGTCTATGCAAGTACCTACGTTTCCGAATGCATGATTGTAAGAATTCATGATATCTGTGAATAGGCTATTTATTTCGTGTCGAAGTTTGCGTCTTTAGAAATGTGTTTAGATAAGCACTTTACTGATCTAGTGCGTGAGTCGAGTTCGACTTTGAACGGTGCCGATCCCGGCCGCCCAGCTGATGAACAGCGATCTGTGCCGGAGACGGACCGTAAACATACCGTTTAGCTTTGAATAATAACACCCCGTTTCGTGAATTTGAACTTGATTCGTGTGGCAATAAAAATGTATAAGTAAAAATATGTTATTCAAATAAATTTCAAATTCACGGAAGTATTTCTATGGTACGACGGATCGATGTGTAAAGAGTAACATTTAGAAGCTTCTTTCATAGGCCTACAAGCTGACATACCACCAATATAGTACGTAAATAGGTACTAGGGTCCATTCCGAGACTCGAGTTTCAAAATTTAGAGGCTCGTGTTTTTTTTTTTCGTGGACTCGAGACTATCTAGACTGATCCATCATTCAGTCCTCGCGTAGATACCTACTCAATTTATAAACCTAAAAGATTAGCATGAAATAAAATGTTATATGTAAATATGCATTTATTAAACAGTTTAATATGTACTTATATTCAGAATATACAATACAATTACAATAATAAAAAAAAAATCCGAAAAAAAAAAAAGAGACAAAAAAAGAGGCTTCAACTAATTACGCGACACGCAATATTCATACGTAAGTACCCACTACAAATATCATATTACCGTTATAACAAAAAGTAATGCTTCCTAAACAAAAATAAACTCTCATCATAAATAACTAGGTAGATATGTAAAACACTACACGAGAGCGCGTCATTACTATGGTAATAATAAGAGATTTTTTTTATTACAATATTTTAAAAGCACAGAATAAATAATAGTAGTACAGACTAAAAGTAAGTAGTATCAATATTTTTTGTCATGGGTGACATTTTCATGGTTTTCGAGGGTGTTGAAGCCGATAGTGCTGTAGAAATTTAAATCCAAGACGGCGGCTTCAATGGGTATTGATTTGTTCATCATGGGTGTCATTTTCATGGTTTTCGAGGGTGCTAAAGCCGATAGTGCTGTCGAAATGTAAATCCAAGGTGGCGGCTGAATTAGGTATAAATTTTTTCATCATGGGTGTCATTTTCATGGTTTTCGAGGGTGTTGAAGCCGATAGTGCTGTCGAAATGTATTTAAACTACTTTAAAAAATTCCGTATAATCATATATATGTTAATCATATATAATCATGTTATACGTAAATTTTTTAATGCGCTTAAGGCATGCCCAACTGGATTTACCAATTTATTTTACATATTATTGAAATGTACAATGGATTGCTTACATTGTTGTATATCTGTCATGTCGTAATTGTCGGTTCTTTCCTGCGTTTTTGGGACCTTGGCAAAATGAGAATTTATTGAATTATGTTTTCTTTTCTTGGGTTTTTCTTTGATTGTGGTCGGAGGACTTATTTTTCTCTAGAGCATATTACGTGTTTTTCGCGGATCCAACAATTCCGGCAGTAAAGATTCCAAGTAAAATGTTTTTAGTTTGGGAACCATATGATCATTCCACAGTCTTTGGTCGCATTGTATTATTTCTGTTTTTATCTGTTGATTTGAACTAACCCACACGGCAAAAAGACACTCTCTCCTTCCTGTAATATTTAACTGTCCTTGCACTTGGAAATACCAGTGATGTTTCTTATTGATCAACATTTGGCCATTATCATACTTCCAGAAAGTAATTTTCCTGTTTTTCACAGCATCTTCCAAGCTAGTTCTGTAGCCTGATACTGGACATTTTATTTCTACAATCCTACTGTCATCTATCACACCGTCAGGAGTTGCTCCTAAAAATGGATGGTTTTTATCGATGAATAGCCCACAGGGCATAATTTTAATGTTTTCTTGCTGCTCTAGTTGATTCAAAGCAATTTTTTCATTAATTTTACCATGTTTGATGGAGGTAACACCAGAGAGATCTTTTTGATACAGTAAACTTTTAACTATACTACCTGACGTCGTGCTCCTCTTGTTTATAATTTTGCCGAAATTGGAAGCCGTTAACAAATTCCTTCGTATTTCCATCCATTTACTACAATCACTCTGGAGGACTGTTTCCCTTTCAATATTGATTCTTTCTTCGTCAGATTTCTCCAAATTTGTTAAAAATGTTTTTTTCATTCTTTCTAAATCTTCTGTATGCAAATCAGGCTTCATACAACTTTGACCGTAATTTTCATCTTCAGCCCTTTTCTCTTTCTGTTGATAAACAAGCTTTCTGGGTTGCATTTTAGACTTGGAACCGTTTCTTTTTAGTTTTCGCAATTCCAGGTATTTTGATTTTGACATTGGGCTCACACCAAGAATAGATCTTTGGAGCTTATACAAAGGTCTTTTTGTATTAAATGATACGACTGCCGTAGTGCATCTGGTCTGATATGAACGCAGAAGACAAAAGTATATGCGTTTACCACCGATACACTTTGCAATTATGGCGTTAAACTGTTCACAACGATTGCTGTCCACGTCTTCAATAAGACTTCGTGCATTAGCTGCAATAGAGCAGACTATAAACTTTATTTGATTTTCTAACGCCGTATCTTTCAGTTTGACAGTGACATCTTCACTTGTTTTTTTGCTTTCGCAATAAAAATTCTGACAATTGGTATGACAACCGAAAGCATGATTATATGAATTGGAAATTGCTACATAAAGATCGTTTATTTGTTTTGAGCGGGTATCACTTGTTTTCTTCAGGTGTTTTATTGAAGAACAAATAACTTTTCTGATAGCCAGGATTCTTTGTGTATTCAGATACCTTCTATGCTGCAGTTTATATTTGGTATCTTTGGTAAGCGCTTGTAATTTATTACACAGGTTTCGTAATAAATGGTTTCTACACTCTATCTTTTCAACAGTGTAGTTAGGATATGGCCGGGCTGCTAAAATTTTAGAATAAGTGGAAGCGTCTCCATCAGCAACCATTTTGCCGTATATAAGACCATACATGTGCAAAGATTGTTTGAATCCTTCCACTAATATTTCCGATTCCATGTTTGTAGATGAACCAGTGTAATTTTTAAAACACATGTGCTCTGATGGTGTAGTTTGTTTATTCTTGGCGCGTACACATATGCAACAATATTTATTTTTTACGGCGAGATATAGCACTTCCCCAAACTTTTTACCTATGATTGCAGCAGCGCCTGATAACGAGGAATAGTTTTTCTTGTAGGTCCTCTTAGCCCAGCAACCATCAACGATCACGTCTATGACGGGGATTCCATCTGAATTGACTCTGCCTTCGTCCAATGCACTTTGCTTCTCACGAGCAGCCGCAGCTTCCATTTCAATTGTGGCTAACTTTTCCCATTCTTCACTAACTCGATTATCATGTCATAAACGGAACATTTATTGATGTAAATATTTCTTGCAATTGTGTATATCCTACACCTGTAATAGCAGCACTCGTTACTACGGCAGTATTTACATTCAAATTGTCGCTTGGACTAGGTTTGGACGTATGTGTAGTAAATTCAACATTACACATATTGCATTTGAATTTTAATTTTGAAATCAAACCTAACCTTTTCTCCCCTATCAACTCCAAATTATTTATACCGCAACCGAAGGCTGTTGAGTGGTTCGAAATTGTTTTTAATTCTTTTAGAAAATATTTAAGGTCTATGATTCTTCTTTCGTCTGATTCTTCATTGATTTCTGCATGATTTCTATCTGACGTGTGCTCTTCGTCTGGAAACCTACAACAGTAATACATATTATTACATAAACTATAAAGCAGACAATAATAATAATGCATGAATGTTTTGAAACAATAGTATATCTTTGAATAGCTCCGATACGTTCCCATGTCCAAATACCTTTCATATAATATGTCACTTTACCTACATTGCTAGCGCTGTAGCATGGTGCGGGGACAGATGTCAGATTATAGTATCAGGACAGACTAGGACAGAGACATTACACAATTAAATTTACATCATCTATACAAATACAAATCTACATCAAAAATCTTGTTTTCTTTATTATAATTTAAAATATATGTGTGATATTATTATCATAATATTATTAAATTTATTTTAAAATATGTATTTCATATAAAACATTTAAAAAAACATATTCAAAGCACAACCGATATTTATGGATATATTAGTGAAAAGGTACAGTTCGTCTAATGTCACTCACACTACACATATATACGCTATATACTATACCTAGTAACTTTTTAAAATTCCAAACCCCCCTCTTCGGTGCCTTTTGCAGTGAAAATAAAAATATTTTTGAACTTTTCTCATTAGCAATAACAGTAGCCAAGCATTTTGTATATAACTGCTCCAAATTTCAAGTCGATAACATTAGTAGTTTCTGAAATATACGGCTGTGACAGACAGACAAAGTCACACCATAGGGGTTTCTTTTTTTACCATTTTGGTACAGAACCCTAAAAACGTCGGATCGAGAATGTCCTACTCATTTTTGAAGTCAGTAAAAATACGAGTACAATATTATCGATGCATTCATTTGTATTAGGTCTACCTTTGATTCTCATAAACCAAGTCTTCGCATTTAGGTAGGATACGAGTACTTATAGCATTGTAAAATTTTCATTCCAATAATGAAACATGGTTGAAAAGATTGAACCATGTTTCATTAAAATTTACATACATATATACATACATAGCATTACGCCATTATTCCCCGAAAGGGTAGGTAGAGGTGCATAGTGCACCCACATTTCGCCATTTATGTTATAAATCTCATGTAATAAAGTGGACTCCGGACTGGTACTGAGAAATTACTAATGGAAAAACCCAATACCATTTTGCCCGACCCAGGACTTCTCGCTCAGCAGTAGCGTTTGCGACCGCTAGACCAACGAGGCAGTTAGAGAAAGAAATACTAACAGGGATTCAAAATTTACTTACTTATTTATTTTATATGTATTTATTTATGTAAATACTTACTTGTCCGTACTGTCAATAGATAGCGACGAGTCCCCTTTTCCCTGTTCCAAATGGCCAGCCGCCGCCGCCGACAACGACGTGGGCACCGCCGGCGCGCCGCTCGAGTCGCTCGCGCCGCGTGCCGATCCGTCTTCGTGCAGTCCATTCTCTAATACCGTGGGCGCCGTTTTATTCGTCACATTCTCAAGCTCAATGAATGAA